GATTTTCTCAAGGCAAGAGTCCCCTTATTGTGATGGGCTGCAGAAATAGCTGTGCTTGACGTGGAGACACTCTTGCTGTACGCAGCCACCATCTCATCCTCTGAGAGGCAAAAAAAGTATAGTCCTGAGATTATTCACATCAAGCACAGCAGCTCCATTCTGTTGCCTCCAGACCCTCAGCCATTTCAAGCTGACATGTGCCATCCCCTGGCAAATTGTCTCAAAAACTGGTGCTAGTCATGCCTTTATTTGTTTTGCAGACTAATACAAGCTGCAGCATCCATTTATTTCCTCCAAAAATCTTGGTAAATGATTAAATTCTGCAACACTTTCCTCATGAATAGCATGATGTTTGACTTGGTGAATGCCCACAGCAAACTCTTAATGTTAGGACTTCACAGTGAATGGGACTGTAAAAGTAATCTCTCTTGCTTACTTCATTTTCTCTTGTGCACCATTTTATTTTGCTTCTGATTAAACTAGATGTCACAAGTCCTCATGGCTGCTCACCGGAGCATGGCATAATAACACTAGCTTGTCTGCAAGTCCGCTCTTCAAATGTTAGACGCAGGAATGAGCCCAGTGGATTTTGTTATGGGTGTTGCCTACCAGAAGTCAATTAGACGGCTCCCAAAAATCTCCAGGCTGTCCCCTCTCTTCTCTTCTTACTCTTCTAGACTGATGCAGGATTTCATGTCCTCTGTGAAAAGAATTTCTGTCCTCATTGGATCCCATTCACAAGATGGAAAGAAAATTAAACACTACCAAAGAGTTGTAGTAAACCATTTTTGTGGGTCAGGACACTTTCCGCTTCCCCCAGTCCCGAGGGGAATGGTTAATTCTGCTTGCTTACATAGCTAGAAAAGGATTTCTGCAGGAACTGAGAAATATTCACCAAGCAAATTTTGCTCCAATTTCTACAGAATCAGCATAAACAAGGAAATGTGCAACATTTCAGAGATTCCAGCACAGATTGCTCCGTGGGACTGGTGCTCACTGGTCCAAGAGCCACGGATCACTGGCCTTCCCTCAGGAGCCCCTGTGGCTGTCAGGAGATGCTGAGAGTGTGGCCTGCTGCCCAGTACATCTCTGGACAGCTGCCCAGGGAGACACCACATCACACAGAAGCTGCTGGGGAGGGACTGGATGAGTGTCCAGTGAGAGAAAACCTGAAGGAGGCAGAGAGGTAGACAGTGATGGGAGAGGGGCAAAAGACTACACCTCCAGAGTCCTACTTTGAAATACCCTTGCTAGAGGCTGTTCCCGCATGGCCCCAAGAGGCAAGACAGGTCTTTGGGTTTTCCTTGCAGGTGAGGTCCCCTCTCAGCTTGTTGTTTCTCCCAGACCTTTGTCTTCTGGGGCTGTGATGCCTCCCACCACCACAGCCTGCAGAAAGCACTCCAGGCAAGAGTTGCATCTGTTCTCTGACATGTTCCACTGAGCACTACATTTCAAAGCCTGCACCATCTCCCTGCCCATGTGCCTTCTGCGCTCCCTGTGCTGTCCATCCCCGCTGCTCTCTTACCATAGTCTGACTGAGAGTGTGGGATTTCCCAGAGCTTTCCTGAGTTATTTTTAGTAAATGCAATAAAGAGAGCGGCTAGTTTGTGTTGCTATTTTTATGGCACTCATTAAAATGCTGTTGCTGAATATCCTGGTGGCTGCTTGCTTCTGCTTTTGTGCTGACTGCTCCTCTTTCTTTCCTGTTGCAGCACTGAAAAGCCCATCTGCATTCCATGATCAACGAAAAAGTCTGGAGCGAGCCAAGGTAAATCCTGCAACCGTTCTGATAAGGGAAGATGCAGGCTCTCTTTGCACAAGTTGTGGTGTTCGAAAGCACCTCCCAGCATTGTGTCCTCATCTGGCATCCTCCATCGAGGCCCTGTGGCCAAGGATGAGAGTCAGGGCCTCTCACTTGCTTCCAGACATGGTGGAGACAAATGAGGGTTTATAGCTGCCCAGGTGCACCCTTCTCCAAGCAGCAGACATTTAAAGGGACAGAGCGGCCATCTGCTCCCCCAGCTATGGGGTGGGGAGTGTACCTGCACCTGGTATGGCTGAGAGGGATGAGCTTTCCTTCTGGAAGGGCTGCAGAGAAGGACAGAAGTGCCACCAACATGAACTTCGGGGCTTGGTGACAAGGCAGAGAAGCCACAAAAGCCCACAGGGTAGAGGAGGTTGCAAAAGTACCTTGGGCATCATCCCCCAGATTTTACAAGAGCCTGCAGGCAGGGCATAGCAACGTGGCATTGACAAGTCTTCCAGTAAATGCACAGCTAGCTGACACCACTGTTTTGCTCTCCAGGCTAGGCCAACAGCCTGTTCCTCCCTGTCCTGGCTGCTCTCTGCTCCCGCTCAAGTCTGTGAGGTTAGAGGACCAGCAGCAAATAGCATGGGAGCCTAAGTATTTAGCAAGCGTCTAGGAGGAATGTGGATGCTCTTTGTCACCTGAGGCAAGTCCCCAGGGAACTCATATTTGTCATCTACTTAGACCCTGCTTTTAGCTCTGTAACACAACTCGGCCATTATGACAGAGAGTGTCTCAGGGGCTAAGTGGGCCAGGCTCCCACTGGCCCCATTATCTAACTGTGCTCAGGCTTCCCTAAATATTGCTGAAGGCAGAGATAAGATAAGCAGTCATATCCAGAACACATTGAAATTGCTTGTGATGTGATTACTTTAGGGAAAATCCTGCTGGTTTTCCAAGCCCTTTCTAGCACCCCCCCATCCAGCCCTGACCATGCTGGAGGTACGTCCACACGCAGCATGGCAAAGGGAACAGTCACACAGGTTCTATTTGAACACAAGATTTTGTTCCATTAATCTGCAGGACGTGCTTGCAGACACAGAGAAAAGGTTTTTTACAAGAAGGAATGACTGTGAAATATGGAGAAGTGCTCTTCTGAACTTAAACACACTCCAAATCACTTGCCCTGAGTCTCCTGCAGTAATAAATGGCTAGCCTAAGAAACACAATACAAGTCTGAAAAATTAGCATGCTTAGAAAATTTCAAGCAGTCCAGAGCATCCTTGAAGTGTCATATATTTTACAGTTTAAGTATACATTTGTGTCTCTTGGTCTTTCCTTCAAAGGCTTTCACTGGCTGGTTGCCTGGGGAAAAGGGAAGGATGGTCTAGAGTATCTGAAAATGCCTGAATTTTCAGAGCATGCTAGACAAACACACTAATGAGCACAGTGCTTAACAAAAATATATTCCTTTGCAAGGATGCCCTGGTTAGAACTGTGACAGGGAAGGAGCAGCAGCTGTTTCCAGATAATTACTTGCCAGCATTTGTTCTTTAGCTGATACTCCTCCAACTTGATGTTCTGCAAACAAAAAACAGATAACAATAACTGCTTTCATATACCTCGAAAGCTTGCTGCTTCAGCTGATGCTAAAAAGCCACACATCTAAGGTCTTTCTCCACCATTTGCTCCCCAATGACACAAACCCAGTTTATAAACAGGAAAAATCAAAAGGAACTAACATCACAGCAGAAAGTTAGCCTAACACAGTGTGAATACTGGGTTCAACATGCTAATGCCACATCTATAGGACAGTAATTCAAACCTATGTAAGGATCTGACCTGAGGGTTAGCCAGAAATGCATTAGGTGAATTTAACTGATGATTTGAGTGCAGACACCAGCTAGCTCTGACCTGGCTTGGAAACCAGTCAAACCTATACATGGTGCAAGCAAGGGACTGTGTTGGTGAAAATAAACTGGGGGAAAATGGGGGAAGGGTAGGAATTGCAAAGACTTCAGTAAATAAAATGTCTATTATTTGTTTAAACATGTCACTGGCTATTTAGGAGGTTGGCATCAGGCCAGTGCAGCAGACTTTGAAGTCAATGTCCTATAATAGATTGCTGGATTGGAGGACAGAGAACAGGCTGGCTTTCTTGAGGCCATCTGGCTCAGCAGAACTTTGGCACTTCCTCCTAGTACCCCAGCAAGCATGGCAGGGAGGGACTGCAGGGGGCAGTTATTGTGCCTCTGCACCAAAGCAGAACAGTCCCAACTAGGTCATTCCTGACAGATGTGTGACTACGGATGGAATTCCCACCCCCTCAGCAACCTGCTCCAGTGCTCTCTAACTTGTATTGTTAGCAAGTTTTTCTACATTCCCAGCACAAGCTTTATTGTTGCAGTTTAAGGTCATTACGTATTCTCCTATGCACATGGACATACAGAACTGTTTATCTTCCTTCTTGTAGCACTTTTAAAAAGTATTTTGCATCCTGTTTCTCTACAGATTTCTCATCTGTGGACTGATCAATGTCCCCTTACTTCAGTCTAGCCTCATTGATCCCACTTCTTTACTCATAGCATTTCTGTTGTTTTCTTCCAGACTCTTCCCATGGGTCCTTTCAGATGCAGGATCCAGAACAGGGCCTTGCTATTTCTAGGACCCATCTGACATTCTTCTTTGTATCTCCTACAAAGCTGCTCACTGGTTTGGGGATATGGTTCAGCTCCTGACCACTAGATTCTCCAGAGCATTTTATATTTTAGTCTATATTTACACAGTAACAAATTCTTGCCTAAAGGCACTGTTGAAAGACCGGTGCAGAAATGTCTCTAGTGGATTAAGATTCACTCTTCATCTGCTTCAGCACTTAATCAGCGGGCTTAGCTGTGGCTAAGTGTGACCTGAATGTAGTCCTTTCTGATTGTTCTTCCTGAACTGTATCCAATGTATTTCAGATCATTTCTTCACTTCAAGTCATTTTGCATTCTAATATGTTATCCTTAAATGCTTCAGAGTTAATAAGTATGTCTTTTATTATCCAAGATGTTAATGAATATATTGAATAGTAGGGGAAATTGCTGTGGAATACAATTTGATATATTCTTCTGTTTAGACTGTGAACCATTCCTAACTCCTTCGGTGACTCCTTCACCTGTAGTTCTGTTCCTTCTTTATGTTAGTCTCATCCAGACCAAATTTCTCTGGCTTGCATATGGGAAAGACATGTGAGATAATGTCAAAACATGCTTAAAGTCAAGCTTCATGACATTCTTTATTCTTATAATAGAAATCTGTCATCTCTCCATAAAAGGAAATTAAGTTGGTGTGACTTCATCTGTTTTTGATGAATCCATTCTGGCTGTTATTCACCTCCTTGTTATCTTCAAAATCTATTTATATAGATTGTTTGATTACTTGTTCCAGTATCATCCTGACTGGTTTATAATTTCCTGGTTTCTTTTTTCCCTCTCTTTTAAAGTTAGAAATTATGCTCTCCCTTGTCCTGTTTCCTGGAGACTTACAGATAGCTGCTATTACTCTAGCATTGTATATCTCAAACTGTTTGGGAATATTGAACTTATCTAAGTATTCTCCAACCTGTTCTCCAACCTAGTAATTGGAGTTTCTATCCTCTTGTTGCTGAAGTTTCTTGGCTTAGTCATCTGATTGATAAATAGCCATTCATCTTTTCAGTGAAGATGATTTAAAAAGGCATTAAATACTGTGGCATCTCAGCAGCATCCATAATTATTTCTCCTGTTTATGGAACACAGAGAGCACTTTCCATTGCCTTCTCCTGGCTACAGAAGTTCTTATAAAATCTTTTTTCATAATCCTGTTAATCCTGTACATGTTGTACTGTGGACTTTCCAGTTTTGCTCTAGCTGCTTGTGCTATTCTTTTACATCTATCCTTAAAAGGTTAACCTTTTTCAACTATGCCCATTTTTTGTATTATTTCTTCTTGCATCTCAGGCTAGCAAACATCTAATAATTTGTCTAAGTTGTTCTCTAGCTTTACTTCACCAGGGACTAAGCTTGTATTTGTATCCTTGAGTTCAGCTGCCCCCAATGCTGACTTCCTTGGCTCTAATGAAAAGTGTCCTTGTAGCTCTGTGTGCCTTTCCGTTCCTAAAGCCATGAGCAAGTTGGCACAAGGCTTTAGGAAGCCTTTCCTCACAAGCCCAGCTGCAGTGATCTGTAAAGTGGAATTTCCCAACCGCACACCACAGGTGGGGTGACAAACTGCAGAGCACCGGGGCTGCAGGGACTGTAGGAAATCTAAGCCTCCTGGTAGGCCTGAGTAGAGTGTGTCTGGGAATCCTGAAAACTTTCTCAGCCTTATATCTCATCCCAGAGAGCCAGACTTTCAACAGGAAGCACTTGCTAATGCTACAATGAGGAGCTGCCTCAGTGCAGATCTCAAAGGCAACATGGCATGCTAAGCTAGGATCAGATCCACTACTCCCATTAAATAGGTCTCACCCTTCCCATGAGCTTTCACAATACCTCAGGTATCAAAAGCTCAAGAGAAATTGAGAAGGACACAGCTTATCAGTGGTGATACTGAACTGTCAGCAGCTCCATGCACATTGGTCCCTTTCTGAAGAAATTTTGTCCAAGAACCACCACATCTCTGGGTGAAAAAAATGCCATTTAGGAGCTCACTCATCCCAGATGGTAATAAATCCTTTAAAAACATGAGATCCCACAGGGGCTGCTGCTCGTCGTACCTTACTGCTGCTCTAGTCAGGTAATATTCTCTGCATTTGTGTTTTGCAGACTGAAGATTATCTCAAGCACAAGATCAGAAGCAGGCCTGAGCGATCAGACCTGATCAATATGCACATTTTACAAGGTAAGACTGCCCGAGCTTCTCCCACATACTCATGTCTCCTACCTTGTGTTTCAAGTCTCTCAGGCTCCAGCTGGGTGCTCTTCAGGACTCTCATCATGATTAACTTTGCCCCAGCTGCTCATGAGAGGTAGAGTCCGAGAGGTACCCCATCCAGGCCTGGTCTTCAAGGATGCAGACACACAGAGATCCCTTGACAGGTGCAGACCTGAGGCCATGTAATCTTTGTCCCATCTCTGGCCAGGACCAGTGTAAGATGCTCTAGGGGAGAGTGGGATAGAGAATAGCTATGAAAGAGGACTGTGTTAGACAGATGTGCAAAGGCCTGATCCTCCAATCCTAGGCATTTATTGTCAAGGATGGTTAGACCATCCTTGGTTAGACTTGGTTAGTCCATTTCTACCACCTTTGCAGGTGGTAGCAAAACCCTTCCAAAATTGGGCATTTTTACTTTTGCCCTAATTCTTGATATTCTATGTGCCATTCTGTGGGGATGCATTCAATGACCCAAGCATGGCCACGTGGAAATGGTCAGCACTGCTATCAGTCTGTAAGCCACAGCAGCTCTGCTCTCCTAGCCTAGCGTTCCCTCCCTGCCAGAGAATCAGTACTGTTCTGCTGCATCCTGTCACAGACAGCAGAACACTGCTGGTGTCCCTTGTTATCACCAGAGATAATGAGTTCCTGAGAGATGGGGGAGGAAGTTCTGGCTCACTCCTGGAGTCCTCCGAGTCCCCTGTAAGAAGCAGATTTCTCTCTGGTGACTGTAAATTCTGGCTCCTGCTCTCAATATGGATGAAGTCCACATTTCCTTTTCCTCTGGAGTGCAGGAGGGCTGAGCCAGGGGTCTGTTGCCTGCCTTCTCACTTGGCTCACTATCAATAAAATAAGCCAGCATCATTTTCCATTTAACAGATGGAAAGTGTTTTTCCCTAAGATTAAATAATAGAAGCAATATAGATTGGATATGAGGCCCAGGGACTGTACAACAGATGTGGAGGCAGCTTTGACAAGGCCAGTGAGACACAATTGAAGAAGAAGTGGTGCACAGACTACCCAGATGCACATTGCTGCAGAGCCCTTAGCAGGCTGTCTGTGCTGCCTCACACACTCTTCTTTGCCTGGCCTCTGCTCATACATCTCTGTACTGTGCTCCATCACACATGGAGGCGTGCCCTGGAGTAGCATAGACTTCAGTGCCCATCCGGTTCATAACGGGACCCGGACGTAACTAGAACCGGCCAGCTGAGACACTTTCTATCATCTAAATGTCTTCCAGGTACACCTTCTGTCACTGTTCACGTCGAGAAGCTCATGTGGGTTCACTGTTCCATAGAGTCTGAGGCCAGGAGGGACTCTAGATCAGTCAACCTGACCTCCTGCAGAGCACTTGTCTCTGGTTATCAGTCCCCGTATCTTGTGTCTGCCTACAGCATCTCTTCCAGAGGGGTGTCTAGTCTTTGAAGACAGCACAGCCTAGATGCAGCCCTCCTTACTTTAGATCCCCAAGAGTATGGATCTGGTCTAGCTTAGGATCCCATTCAGGACTACATTCAGCACTACACAGGGAGGAGCCACCAGAGGAGTCACGCACCTCTGATTGGGAAATCATCACTTTCTGTAGTAACTGGACACCCTTCTGTCACTAGTGAATAACTGTGGCATTTCTCATTTGGGTTTGTCTGGCTGTAGCTTCCAGATCTAGCTGCATTTGTTATACTTTCCTTCACCAGCTCATTTTTCTCCCCAAAGCCCTGGAACACTGTAATCACTCTGCTTCCCAAACGTTCCACTCCTGAAAAGTCTGAGCTTTTTGTCTTTCACTGAATTTACTCAAGATGTCAAACACTATTAATGGTTCTTTTCTCCAACTGTTTGGTTCCCCAGAAGTAGGGATCCATTTGCATTAGCCCACTAGGCCAACGGTCTCCTGGCAGGCAGAGCTGAAGCCCCTTTCAGCTCTCTGCAGGCTGAGTTTGCAAGGCGAGGCTAGAAAACAGTAGCTCTTACTTGGGAATGGAGAACCTTGACCTAAGACTCAGAGGAGTGCTCACATCCCAAACCCCACCTGCCCCATCCTGTCCAGTGTTCTGCCTCCCAGACTCAGAACACCTCTTGCTGCACACTGAGCTATGCTTGGGTTTTGGGTGTAATCCAAAAGGCTGTTCTAAAGGGGAAGCACACTCTCTCCAAGCACTGTGTTTACAGATGCCTCAGGTCCTGAACTGATGCTTTCCATTTGGCCTTCTAGACTCAGCTGCAGAAGGGTCCATTCAGTCTACTCAAATGAAGCTGAAAAGAGCTCGACTGGCAGATGATCTCAATGAAAAGATTGCCCTTAGGCCAGGTCCTTTGGAGCTGGTGGAGAAGAATATTATTCCTGTCGACTCAGCTGTGAAAGAGGCCATAAAAGGTAGTGGAAGTAAACATGTGGTTTGTGTTGTGAGAGTGTACAGCATGGGGCACAGGCTGGCAAGGTTATGAGAACATATAGCAGAGACTGCAGGATGTGGCAACATAGAGTTAAGAGCCGTCACTGCATGTTTCTTAGATAGCATTATTTTCACAGTGAGCAGCCCACTCCAGCAAAGCCTGTGTTATCTTAGCCTGGCCTATGAAAAGAGAACTCTCATCTTCTCAGAGCAATGATCAGGGAAACATGTATGATTTTTCAGCCACATCTCGGAGGGAATGCCTCTTTTCTTACACCTCTTCCATCCCCAAGGTTTTGAGCACATAAAACAGTATTGCTGGAGAAAAGACATTCCCTTCAGGATCTCGCATGGGAGAAGGCTTGGGTGCCCATGTGTAGTTGTAAGGCAGGCCTGGATTCACCCACTTGTGCCCTGCCAGTCATTTAGTTTGTTTAGCTTAGTTTTCTCCATCAACTATCTGACAGCTTATGGAGAGAGGCAGAATCTCCTGCAGTTATTTCCTCCATGCTGCTTTAGGGAGGCCAGTGAAGGAGCTGACATAAAGCAAAAAGGTGTCTCAGATCCCCCCAAGGCCCACTGCTGAGACAGGGAGATTCAAAAGCAAAGAGAGAAGTGAAAAAGCCAGCAGGATCCTGCAGTGTCAGCTCAGCAGCCTACATTTTTGAAGCCTGGGCCCACCTTAGCGTGTACAAATTGGCTCTCAGGACTCAAGTGAGGCACTGAGAACTGCTCTGCTCCCTGGGACTTGCTCCTCAGTTCTTAACTTTCAGTTGGTCCTGGTTCCTAACTTCACTGAATTATTTCCACTGGCATAATTAGGCACTAAGTCTCTATTCTGTGACTCAGAGCAAGCCGCGGACAGTGGCAGGACTCTTGGATCAGGAGGTGGTCTTTGAAATATTAGAGTGAGGCAGAAAATAGGAAATGAAACAGGAAGCACTTAGACTTGCATTTCATCTCAGAAATGAGTGTATATGACATGAAATATTCCAGGCTCAGATACCCCTCTTTCTTGTCCTGCAATTGTTCCTGCTCTTTGTTTTCCTGCTGCGAAGTGCACGCAGAGTACATATAGCGGTTTCTTTAGTCTGGTTCTTGAGCCACTCTGTGCTCACTGTTTCTCAGCTCTTGCCTTTGAAGGTGAAATGTTCCAGGACTCTGCCTGAAGAGGAATTTTTAAGGAGAGTTCAAGCAAAATCTCCTCAGCCACTTATTGAAGGAGAGAAGTGAAAATACATTTAAAAATCCCCTCTTTATAAACATTCAAGGCAGTCTGAGCAAGACTTTATCCACTGCAGCTGAGGCTTGGAGGCTAGGCAAGTATGTCTGAAGTTTGAACAGAGTTTCTGTCCAGCTGCCTTGTCAGGAGCTTGTGATAAATAGAGATTTACAGGACAAAATTGTTAAAAACAAAAAGTCTAGCTTAAAGGATTTGTTCAATTTTGAAATTTCTCTCTTTCAAAATGGCTTTCTAATGCATTGCAAGGGAAAATGTGTCCTTCAACTCCGTTTTATCCCATTTGGGGTAAAACTACAGGGGTGCAGCTATTGTGTGCAGGAGGAGTGCACCTGCACCAGGAACACAATCTCAGACCTCAGGTTTCTACAGTAGAAAGTCTCAAGCTGAAGGACTTGAGACTTGAGTTGACTTTCTGAGTAAGAGGCGCTTTGTGACACTCACGGTTTGGGGCGGCAGGTTGAACGCAGAGCAGAGATGAGCACTGGCACTTCTGAACTTTAAGCCTTTTGTTTTTGCAATACCAGAAAGATGACACGGTTTAAAATCATTTTACTTTAACTTTGGAATCTCAACTGTTTATACAGTGGAAAGTTCAGTTGACGTGTTCCTCTAATCACCTCCGGCAGGGTGAGCAGAAAGTGCCAGACCCCAACTGAAAGCCCTAACGTCCCAGTGACAAGAGGCCGCCAGTGCCCTGCATAGCTGAGCAGTGATATAAGAACCTTTTTTTACCAGGTCCTTGTCATCACTTTGTCCAATATGCTTGAGAGGACAATACCCAGTGCATTAGACATAGCCCTGAGCAAACACCATTCTGCCTAAGATTACAGCAGAGACATAGGATCATGAAACAATACGGTCAGCCCCAGGCTGGACAAGAGCAGGACAGATAAGGCCAGCATTCCCCATTGCACACAGGCCCTTGGTATCAAGAAGCAGGATACAACACATTCCTGACGTGCTCTGGGCTGCCACTGTGTCCTGAAGGTCCCTTGGGCTCCCTGCTTTGGTATGTCTTCTCTCTCATCATATTCCTCTTAAATGCCAGTTCACCAGGCCTGGAATGTCATGGTGGCAGAGTTAGGACTCAACACAGCTCCTCCAGAGATGAGGCACACAGAGCTGAAGTCCCAGAGGCTGGAAATCGGCACCGTGCTTCCTTTTCTCTCCTCTGTGCTGGACAACACCCTCTTTCACCCTTGGGAGCTTCACAAACCCACAAGTCTTCCTTGCTTGGTGTGATTATACCTCAGAGAGGATGCCCACACTTTTCTTCACACATGGGAGAAGTCAGTGTCTATCCAGATCAGGTGGGAGACCACTCCCAGCAAGGACCACACAGCTTTGCATTTCTTCAGGGAAAGCCCAACTCGGGTATTATGTCTGACGGCAACTACAGGGGAGAGGAAGCAGGCCCTATAGCCAGGCACTTCTGAGAAACCTCAGGACCTGGCAACCAGGAGGAGAGAGGATCTCCATAGGACGCAGTTGCTCTCATATCCTCCTGCTTGCATGCCCCAAAGCTGCCATGGGGAAGCTTTTATTGAGCCATTTGGGCTTCCTTACCAAGCAGACAGAACAGGTACTCCTGAACACTAGGGTCCCTGAGGAGGCTGGTGCTGGCCTGCCACTGGTGACACCTGCAGAGCTCAGGATGGGGATAGGCATGGCCAAGAGGGATGCAAAGCCACATTGTGCTAGGATACCAGTAACTGTTGACTCTCCAGGATCTCTTTACAACACAACCCTGTGACAGGTGAGCTTGCCATCCATAGGGTCTAGCTGAAGGTGGCTGGGTAGCAGCTCACAGAGTGAGCAAGTGGAGAGGAGCTAGGGCTCCCTGCTTCCTCATGATGCCACCCTGGCACCACAAGCCAGAGCAAACAGAGATAACCCTTATCTCTCAGACAGGGGCAGAGGTCAGAGCCCGAGCGTGCGTGTCAGTGAGAAGGTGCACATTGCTAGGCCAGCAGTACAGACGGGTAGAAGCTTGTCCCCAGGCCCTTCCTTATTTCCCCATTTGTCACCTCACTATCAGAGTGACAAGTTGCCTGACAAACACCAGATGTGAGCATGAGGAGATTAGGAGCACAGCCATGCTACTCCTTCCTCCACCCCTACCTGTGGCCCTCCCAAAGCTCCCATGAGCTTTTCTTTTTCAGCACTTTATTTATCAGTACAAGTCTGGGGTCAAGAGCTCTTGCCATTTGACTAGCAGATACTGCGCTGGGAGCCTTGCAGAGGGGAGAAGCAATGGCTGAGGCAGTTAGGAAGTGATAGTAGTGACTCGAAACATTTCATGGGGGTGAAGTTTATTGACAGATGCAGGACCTGGAAGCCTTTGTTTAGCTGCAGTCAGGTCCACCCAGGCGTTGTCTCCTCTGCCATGAAAGGATGGGTCACTCTCCAGATGGATTTCAACCTCAGTTCTGCTAAGGAGCAGGGTCCTGTGAGTGGTGGGGTTTGTGACTGGAATGCTCAGCTGAACGGGAGGATCCATTCTACTGCTCCCTCCCCACTTCTGTCCTGCAGGACAGGACAGCAGAGTTTTTTCTTTACCACCCTGATGTATCTGAGACCTCAGACCCTTCTTTTCTCCATTTCCTGACTTAAATGGTTCAGAGCAAGGGCCAGAAGGTGATGCCTCCTCCTCTCTCCCACTGGCTTTGCTCATTCAGCCATGGAGGCATACCATTTGATGTTCTTCCCTCATCACACCCTGCTGATGCCATCCCCTATGCATGGTCCGGCTTGGGCTGAGGCATTTGAACCTTCTGAGTATCAAGCCTTCATACCGCAGTAAGAGATAGAAAAGCTGGACATGTGAGAAACAGAACTGGTCCTCAAGGCCTAGCCTGCAGGCTGGACTGTGGTTCCTCTGTGATTTGAGCACTCTCCATGCTGCTTTCTGAGCACCTCATCCCTCTTGCTGGGGACAGACCAACTCCCAATGGGCTTGTTCCTGACAGCGAGCCCCATCGCCCCTTAAGCTGGAGTAGCTGAGCCCTGAAGCCAGGAGGAAGGGACAGGCAGACACTGCTGTGCCCCTGGGGAATGCTGGCAGACTGGTACAACTGGGGATGTGTCTGACGGGTCTCCATCACCTTTGTCTTGCCTGTTAGGTACCCAGGTGAACTTCTCCAAGTCATCTGATGCATTTGCATTCGAGGAGGATAGCAGCAATGATGGCCTGTCCCCGGAGCAGGCCAGGAGCGAGGACTCCCAGGGCTCCACAGAATCATCAGCAGGCACCAAACCCTCAGAGCCAGCCTCCTCTGCCACCTCGGGAACACCCCAGGTAAGTGAAGCAACTCTGCTAAGGCATGGCAGGTCTCAGGTGGCTTGAGGAGGCCCCGTTCCTCCTGTTCTGTGGAGCAACGACATGCAAGGACACAGAGGCAGGAGCCCTCAGCCAAAGGAAACTCACCTCAGTGCCCTATTGGGGCCTCAGTACCCCCCACTTCCAGGAGTGCCCAGTACCCAACCTCCCTGGGACATGTGCTTCACTTGGGGGGTTTGGAGGGGCTCTCCACGTCCTGGAGGCTCTGGGGAGATGCGTTTTCTCCCCCTTGGTGACCACCCAGACAGGTTTGTATCCTCAGAGAGGGAGAGCAGGGTCTGAGAGGCATGGAGATGAACAGAGACTGAATGGTGTGGTAGGCACCCTTGGTATCAGGGCCGCACTGCAGCGCACCCATAACCAGCGGCCCCTCTGCTGACTCCTCTGTCCAGCTGGCAGATGTCTACCTGAGTTTTCATTTTGACCTACTTCCTGAGCGGCTGCCCCTGGATGCACCTGCAGGGCCTCACCCTGCCTTCAGCCCAGGGCCTTGGGCAGGGTCTGGCTGGAAGCGGCTTTGGCCATGGGGTTCTCCGTTAGTAACTGCTTCCACTGTCCCCTGCTGTAAAAGTCCCCAGTGCTCCAGGATGCAAATACTTTTAAAACCCTCCACGTTTAGCAGCAGTTACTCGGCCATCCGTGAACACTTATTCTCACAAGCCTCAGCACCCACTCTAGCCCAGGAAGTGTTCATCGCTTCAAAATATCGGCTTGCTGCTTTTGAGAACACAGTGGAGCATGCAGCTCCCAAGAGGCGTGAGAAGACCCGGCCCGGTGGGCCCCTACAGGGCAGGCGGGCAAGG